GAAGACAATACTGAACGTAAATACGTAAAAACACACTAAAAGATTGGCTAAACTAGTTAATAACATACGTACTGTTCGAATTCACAAAAAAATTAGGATTATAATGAAAAACTGGAGCTTTCTTTGTAGATAAAAACGCCAAAAACTTCCCGCGGCTTGTTTCAATATTTTTGCCGAACAGTAAACACGACGATTCCACGCGCAGGTCGCGAGGATGAAGTCTGATCTATATAAATCGTATTTAAACTGTACTAACTGTAGGGAGCCACCTTAAGGCCATGTTACACGGTGCAATTTTTCTTGCAACTTGCAATGCAATTCTACTCTTGAGAGATGTTAATTAGTGAAATCAGTGAAGAATTTTCGATATGTTGAGAAAATATCAGCGGAGTGTGATGAATACTCGTATATGGCAATTTTACATCTCTCAAGAGTAGAGTTGCATTGCAAGTTGCAAGAAAAATTGCACCGTGTAACATGGCCTTAAGGGAAAAGGTACGTTTTTCAAATCGATCTGGGTGCGAGCTGGAATCGATCAAAAACCTTGCTACAATTTAAAATTAGCGCGATTGACCCTCTCCCTTGCGGTAACTTTCTAGCTCACTATTAACTGAAGTTGTCTTTGATTATATGTATATTGAATGTATTTGACTGCACGGGATTTCGTGCTTAATCTGATGGTATAGGGGGAAGATTTTTCGGGTGGGGTGGGGGTTGCACTATAGTGATACAAATTTATATCAACATGTCATAAATCATGGAAATTTGGCATCTATTTCAAAGCAAAACATACTATTTATTTCTTAAAAGAAACTAAAGTGAGGTCTAAAGCAAATATTACTTCCTTTCCCAACTATTTCTGTTCATTGCATTGTAAACATTTTCCTTTTCATCTCTAACGCCTTATACTAATATTTTAGTGTATCCTTCCTCTAATTGTACTAGCGTAATGGTAGATATCTAATGTGCCTCATTTTTCGAGAAAAAGTATCGTAAATATGTCAGAAATTACAACAACGATAGATTGAGATTCGAAACCTAATTGAAGATTGAGTATTCCGTCCATTCATGCATATTCGGTATCAGTAATTAGAATTTGTAGAATTTGCCACCTGTTAGCGAGACGAACAAACGATCGAGTGCATTGCGCGAGGTTACTTCACATAATCAAATATTGATATGATATTCATTTCCGTTTCCATGTCGTGGCCATTGTCGCTAATAAATAATTTATTTCTAACAAAATTTTTAATCTTCCTTGAATATAATATTATGGCAGTGCATTCTACTAAAATGTAAACATAACCTGAATGTCTCGAGTTAAACCTGTGCAAATGTAGTGCTTCAAGTGTTCTTGCGAGCATCAATAAGAGGTTATACTTGTATACTTTTTTGCTGTAGTCCTGTGTAAGTTATCTATAACTATTTCGGAGAAGTCAAGCAAGCAAATGAGTCAATGGAAGTTGGATAACGGCAATTTACCTGATTGGTAACCTTCATTGAAGATTGACCACATTTGCTTGATCATATGACGACAAGATTTGGAAAAAAGTTCACCAGAGTACAGAATATAACCGTTCGAAAGAACCGTTATACCGATTTGTAAACAATGTTTTAGTTTATAGCTCCCCTTGTCATGAATATACATATAATCATGACATCTCATTTAAAAGTCAAGTCTGTGCAGTACTTTCCAAATAAAAACAGAAAGAGGTTTCTTTTCAGGTTCACTAAAAATTAATATTATTAGTACAAAATTGGAAGATATGTATTTTACGAAAAAGAAATACTCAGTGTAATAAATAATGTATAATACTGTTTATTCATATGCTCTTATGTTGTTATTTAGTGTTTTATAAGGCACAAAAATACTTCTTCGATAACGACACTTGAATCGAGTAAATAAAGCACTAGACATGATGGGGCCTGTACCATTAACATTTGATATTCTTGCTGTCTTGCAGAGTGACTTGGCCAGACAGTCTTTGTATGTAAAATTTGATCCTCTAGTGGAAGCGAGGTCTGATCAAGTAGCACAAGGTGTGTGTCCTCACAAGATCTTTTAAATAAGACCCGGCGCATATATAAGAAGGACGTTGTGAGCATGGTCTACATTTTACTCTATACTGACATTTTTCAATTTTTTCATCCCATTTCACGTTTCATCTCTTAAGAATATGTTATGCATGTAAAGAAAGTGTGGACTGGGTAGAATGCCGGCCTTGCTCATAATTTCCTTTGGAAAACATGCATTAAACATGCACTTATATAGAAATTTGTTTATTAAATTTACTTGCAGACTCCAACAGTTTTCCCAATATCAATCCTGCGGACTTATTATTCCAAGGTCCTATGTAAGTACTTTTGAATTTCCTGGAATATATTATTATACAGACTACATTAATACTATATTTCCGTGATCAAACGAAGACGATAATTAATGAGAGTTGGCAAGCGAGAATTTGTAGGAGAGTTTTCTCAACTCTGCTCCCCGAGTCAAACGAGAAGAGGAGTTGCTTGAGAGTTGATAAGAGTTAACTACAGTAGATATTACTTGTCAAACGAGCAATAACTCTCATCAACTCTCATGAAAAAGGTCAAAGTTGACGAGAATTGGTGATCAAACGTACTCTCGTCAACTTTTATCAACTCTCATCATCGTTTGACCCAGGCTAATTAAGCTAAATTCCCATCGTGGATTTAAGTGAGCGATCGAATTGAAATTTCAAATTTATTTTATTTGTCAGATCTACTGACGATCTGTTAGGGATGGATACTCCGCCAGCGAAACCAGTGGTATCCCGTCGTGCCTTGCTCGCACAATCACAAAACACCGAGACTGAGGAGAGCACGGCCACGTCGACCATTGCGCCTGTTGACTTGTTTGAGTTATCGCCAAGTCAAGATGTAAGTGATATGAAGAAGACGCCTGAGGGCAGTTGTATACGAATCCCGGATTTATTCCGTGGATAAGCTCAAACTAAGCAACAATCTCGCATATAATAGGTTTTGTTTGTGGAAACACCACGTAAATTTATTACTGCAAATTATTTATTATTTATTTACGTGGTGTTTCCACAAACAAAACCTATTATATTTTATCACCATGCAAACATACAAAGAACTTAATCTCGCATATCTTTGGATGGTTAAATTTCAATGTTTTCCTATAGTTGTTTTATATCCATCCGCAATATGTTCTCTGCGGTAGAGGCACCTTCAACCTTAAGCTTGCGATTTTCGAAAAGTTACTGTCAGTCCTATTCAATCAGTTACCAGTGTGTCCAGAAAACAATGCAACTATGTTCCACATTTTTGCACAGCTATTATTCTTCATCGAAAAGAGATGAATTTTGACACTAAGATTATTAAAATTGGTTGTAGTAGACGTAGTAGAATTAATTTTAAAACAGCCATAACACATTAACACTGCTTCTACTAGTCCTAATTTAATTCATAAGATTAAATTTTCGATGCTCGCTAATAATTATAGCTGTGCAAAATGTGGAACATAGCCACAGATTTTTTCGGGACATCCAGTATATTTTTGTTATTTGTATATTCTTAGATTACTCCGCCAGAGGATGCAGAGGAAGCAACGACCTCTAAATCTGAAAGTAGCATTATTGTGACTGAAGAAGAATCTTCTCTTGTTCAGGTACACAATTTTGAAGGTCTTCGTAGATGGAAATGTTTGTGGGCGAGTATAGGAATCAGAGCAACCTACGTTATAGACAATTCCAGCTTTTAGTTTATGCGTGCAGGGGAGGATGGGAAGTAAAGCATGATAGTGCTGATTATGCTGAAAAAAATAAAAAAGGCCGCCGTGTATGACAGCTTATACTTGTAAATATTAAAAAATATTTCGGTTTCGGCAGTTTTTATTGAATTTTTTAGCATAATCAGCATTATGATACCTTACTTCCCGTCACCCCCTACGCGCATAAATTAAAAGCTGGCGGACAGGTTGCCAACATAATTATGACCACATTCAGTAAATGGAAATTTTATAGTTATTGATTCATTTACTGAGACTTTAACATATTAATTAGATAAGTTCCCCTGCGGGCCTGGAGCAGGTTGTTCAAAGCGGATTATCTCTAACCGTGGTTTGAAATTTAACACGTTAAGACTTCTATTGATCCACATGCGACTTCTAGAAAAAAATCCAAGTTTATAAACAAACGGTTATTACGTTAACCTATATAAATTTAAGCAACCTGGCATTCGAACAATCGACCCCTAGTTGTTGTATGGAAAACTATCTGCATTCGACCATGAAATGCTTGACCATCAAAATTGCTTCGACCATCAAAATTGCTTTGACCATCAAAATTGCTTGACCATTGACCACTGCTTGACCATTGACCCCTAGTTGTTGTATGGAAAACTATCTGCATTCGACAATGAAATGCTTGACCATCAAATTTGCTTAGACCATCAAATTTTTGAAAGTGACAGCCTTGTTAAGCCGTGATTTCTATTGCATGCGACAGTTAAAAAAAGCTTCCATGTTTTTATTTTGGTGGCAGCAGGTGGTTTTAATCTAATTGTTGTTGTCGTTTCACATATGTCTGAGCAATGACTGATTTTACACGGGTATTGTAAACGTATGTCTTGAAGCTCTTCACATTTGGCTATGAAACGATGGATTATATTTATATACATCCGAGTTGATAATGTTCGAATTTCTAACCTGGTTGTTTTGTTTGAATACGGCAAACAAGAAACGTGAAATGGGAAAGGAGGTTAAACAACCTGCTGCTATAGCTGTTGTGAGTTGATCTTTATTGTGCAAGCAGGCTCGCGGGATTTGCTCGCGATGTATTGCCAATGTTTGTTGCATAACATTTGGCGAATACAGTAGTACTGTTGTGGAAAATCTGCTTCATCTAGCCAAAGTGACGTACGTACGTGTACGTATGACACGTTTTTTATTGTTTGGCTACCACGATAGCTTGTAAGCAATATTTCTATGTTAATAATATGTGCCATCAATCAAATTATGTCGCAAGCTGAAAAACGTAAAGTATATTTTGTCATTTTTAGCCGTTGCAGTTTTCGAAAAAGGACCTTGATAAAGCTGTCGAGGACGAGCAAGAAAAATTATTAAGTCAAGTGAGTTGATTGAACTTACAGTAATTAGCTCAATGAACAAGCCCTCCTTGGTTAGCCGCGCCCCTAACTAGGAGTGAGTCTGTTCGCAGCCCACAACTTAATTGTTATGAATACTATGAAAATAAATTAAAAAATTTTCACCCTTAGTGGAATTTACAGAACAGTCTCCACGAGGCTGAAATGGAAAAATTACTAGACGAAAGAAATAAAATACTTGAAGAAAGGAATAAAATAATGGACGAAAATAAAGTAGTCAAGTAGGTTTCCAATTGTTTGTTTCCAAGTTTTCTGTGTATTTTGTTGGAAAGTTGACTACTACAGTATCAGTTGCTAAAATGATAAAAAGTGTAAAGATAAAACGGTAACCTGAATTTCTATATCTTTAGAACATTAATGATGGAATATGAACAAACAATGGCCCAAATGATAAGTAAGACGAATTGTAATGCATTACTCCGTTCTGTAATAAATACCGATACGAATATTTATGTTACAATATTCCCGTCTTCATTTTCCATTTTCGTTCCTACAATATTTTTGCACTCTGCAGAGGATCGAGAAAATGAGCAAAGCCAACAGGAGAAGTCCAACTCAGAAATAGCCCAGGAAAGAGATCAGGTATTTGATGAAATTGCATGCCAGGAATGATTGTACTCGACTATATATACCAAATATAATTCTTAATATTCGTGTTCTAGCTTCAACGAGATTTGAACAACACAGAAAAATCATTCGCCCATCTTCACGAGAAGTTTGGAAAACTAAAAACGGCCGTAGAATCTTATCGAAAGGTATCACTTTTGCTCTTTAGAAATGACTTTTTACGTACGTATCTGAGTATGCTGTAGTTCGAAATGGGAATTTATTCTTCTCTATTCAGAATGAAGACGTTTTAAAGAAAGTGGTCAAAGATCTACAGGAAGATGTAAAGAACGCGGAAGCAAAATATCAAGTTTTGAAAAGTCATGCCGAACAAAAGCTTCAAGAGTGAGTAAGAATGGCGACGGATACACGGGCAATAGAAAGCTTTAAGGCCAATTTACACTATGCAACTTTTTTGCCTAAAAGTAAAACTGTCGCATGCAACCTGCTTACCACTTGAGTTGTACTGTGTAAATCAAGCACACAACTCACGTATGACAACGTAGGTGGAGTGTCCATTAATTTATTTATGTGTTATCGAGTCAACAATACGGTGCTAATTTTAACTTTTTGCTCGTCATTTATTGATTTTAGACATATGTATCTTATTTCTCGTTATTGTAGAGCAAATGTTGAAATAAATAGAGTACAGACCTCGTACAAAGCAGAATTGGCTGGATTCCAGGCTGCTTTAAAACGAGAGAAAACAAAAACCTCTTCATTACAGCAAAATCTTGATCAAAAAGTAAGTGAACGGCATTGAACTTTAGCTATTCCTAACCTTATCATTCTAATCCAGTCCTAATTTGCGTCAGCTGCTTGGCCTTATTTTCAAACATTGTTTTATTTTATCTGCAGACAAACGAAAACAAAGAACTTACTTCGATCTGTGACGAACTCATAAGTAAAGTAGGGCCAATGCCTTAGATCAATATAGATACTATAGATAATTATTTAAATTTGTATTATGTATATTTGAAAAGATGAGATAGTGCAGTTATATAAGCACTGTTTTCTGCAAAAGATCAGAGCAAGACCATAGCTTAAAAATTCGCTTCAGCTTATCCACAGAAATGAAAACCATATGGAAATTAAATTACTTGGAATGCTGAGTGGAAAGGTGAACCCAGGCCCAGGGCAGAGGAAAGGTTGTTGCAGAAACATTGTTTTCCGAATGTGGGCAAACCAGGAAACATTTTTCGCAACAAAAATCACACTTGGGGAACGAAATGTTTCTTGGTCTAACTTAACTATGGTCTAACTCATGGCCAGTCCCTGAATTTAGGATTGAAAAAATGTTACACAATGGGAATTGAATCACACTTCTCAGTCCACTGATCTATATTTGTACTTATTGACATCAGGGTCCAAGGCGTTTTTATTTCTGTGCTATGCTTGTAAAAATAAGGACTTGCAAAGATTGTACAATATTGTTATAGTACACAAGTATTGTCTTTAGTATTTTGATGCCAGTGGAATATCTTTAAGTGGTTAGAATTCCTAAACTAAAGGCGGAGAGCAAGTTGCTCTATATTAAATCATTTTCAGGTTTTTCCTGAAGTTTTTTTTTTCATTCTCTGCAATTCATTATTTGACAGTGCATTTGATCGCGTCTCAGTTTTGCGTCGATGAAAGTTACAAACTTGTAACATATTCGTATTGGTGGTTAAATCTAAAGTCTAAACTACTCCAACTGTTTTTAGAAAGAACTTAAGACAAGGAACATGTGTGGTGTATAGTATTTTTATGGTGGTGTTGTTTGTATGGTGCAAGTACCTGAAGAATAAGAGTATGTTTCGAAACTCCTTCATCTGCAAGTTAGTTGCGTCGGTAATCAAGACCAACAACCATCGCTTCAATCGTCTAAGTCCGTTCCTATTCTTCAGGAAGTTGAATCATACACACAAGCAGACAAATTTAATTCTACACTGGCACCTAACATATTGTGGTGTAGTGTTATTAATTTCTCACAAAAATGATGATGCAATAGACACAATCCCCAAATTTAATCTATTACATTTTATTTCAATTCTACACTTTTAGGAAAATTATCTAAATCCTCAAAGGAATGCATGATTTTGTCTTCTTTAACAGTGACAACACGCATTCCATGTTTATCTTCGCCAATAGGAAATCCAATTGCACTTGTTACAACCATTTCTAAATTGCCATCAAAGCCACCTGCATTTTTATGATAATGTCCTGCAAACACATACTTTACTCCTGCATCTTTTAGTTTTCCAACAATTTCATCCCGGTCTTTCTTGCAAAGGTTGAAGTATCCATCTTCTTCGTCTACACTTTCCAAAAATAATGGAATATGTTGGAAAACAACTGTATGCTTGGCAGTTTTGGCAAGTTCCAATTGTTTATCAAGCCACAATTCATGTTCTTTCTTTACGTCTTCCACCAAAGTTCCATCTTTATAGTACTGGCTGTTTAGGACAATAAAGAACACGCCTATATTAATGAAAATGTTTAATGTTATGGTAATCTTATGTTATGAAAAAAACCCCACTTATTTGACAAGGGATTGAAAATGAGCCTGGATGGACATCTTAGGTCACATAACGAGGAATACTGCAATTGCATATTTGTGCAATGAGGTGAATGGGGGAGCCAGAAGGGGGGGGGGGGGGGGTAAAGCAATTATGGAACAGGTCTTGCAAATGGCCAACTCTTATTAGTGATTTGCCATAAATTCCTGGACATTTATAAGATATGGCGACCATCAGGGTGGCAGCAAATGTTGGAGGAAAACACGCTCCAAACACAATAGCTGCTAATCATATTCTTTTGTTAGCATTCTTCCAACATGGCTGCCACGACATCAAGTGCAAGAATTGGATTAAATTGAAAAATCTACCTCCAACCCAGAAGCTGTAATAATCATCCCCATAATTACTTCTATATTTAGTAATGCTCTCAACTGTGGGTTGGTCGCCAACATCATGATTGCCGCAGACACAAACTAATGGTATCTCCGGATCTAACTCTTTAAAAACTGCCTTAAAATCTTCAAACTGTGCCTCATAGTTTCTCCGTCCAGGAAAAGCATCTATCATATCTCCACAGACGACAAAAAACCTTGGTCTGGGGTGAAGGTTGTTGGCAGCTTTAATGGCAACTCTTGTTAACTCTACTTCGTCTTTCCAATCTCGTTTTTCTTCGGGAACTTTGTTCCAGGTATCCTTTAAACCAAATTGCGTATCAGCGCCGTGAATAAAAAGGAAAGGTCCGGTCCATTTGCCTTCCTTCTCTTGAGAAAAGCCAGGGTATTTTCGCTCGTTTGGTTTGGTTCCAAGGCCGGCCATTTTTGTTTTTATTTTCATTAGACCCTGGTGTATGTTATTTAAGTGGAAAGTCAGCTTTATGTGACGTTGCAGCATGTTTCTTTTTGTTCTGCAAGTACTTTTGTATATAACATGTGGCGAAGTTGGATTCCGATTAGTTTACGAAGCAAGTCGAGCTTTGGCGGAGACGGTGCAGACCAAAAACACGGCAGGCGGCGGGGACATTTAAATCCATCTGATAAAATCGAAAGCCAGACTTCGAATCATGCTGAAAAAAACAACTTTTTTGGTGGATAAATGGCGTTAATAAAATGCCTTGATGCAGAATTTGTCCAGGTAAAGTATAAAATGTGTAAATATAGAAGTTGGGTGAAAAGCCAAAGCGAATTTAAACGTAGATAGATGTGTATTTTGACAGAAATAATATGAGCCTATTAAGGCCATTTTAAACCTCGTGTTGTTGCAATTTAGATCAGTTGTTGCAATTTACTGTATGTTAATACCAGTACTATATAAACTACGTGTCCTATTAAAACAAACTTGGTTTTTGATGTGAAAATACACCCACTATGAGTACCAAAAAATAGTTCATCTAATAGTTTGGTTCTACATATTTTAACCCATTGAGCCGCAATGTGGCCCATTGCGCCCTACATATTTTTTTACTTGTCTAACGCCAGACAATTTTACTCGTCAATGGTGAAGCTCTGCACCTTAATGGGTTAATTTCTACTTTTTCAGGACATTGTCAATGTATTCTCTAATGGCAATTGGTGTTGTAGTATGTGAGACATGAAAGTTATTGGTAATTGATTTTACCATATTATACATGAATCAGATTGATGATCTCTGAAAATAATTATACATAAAATGTAACTGTGATGTTATAATTGTTTTATTGTTCCTCCTTTTTAGGGAAATTAGGCATAAGTTTGGCTACAGTGTTAAGGTGGGTGGGAATATTAATTTGATATTTTGCACATTTAGTTCTCTTTCTGCCATAATATAATAAAAAGTACTTGTATACTGTTTTGGTCAGAAATACCATCCTGCTTGAGACCATCATGTTTGAAACAATAAATGAGCCATCATAATGGTTGGATGATAATGAATTTTTCTCATTCTAGTGGTTCATGTATTTCATATCTGGCTTTCAATCAAACTGATTCGTTTAACTCTGCTGTTAATAAATATATAAATGTTGAAGTTCCAAATAGACAACAATTACGGGATACAGGTTTGTTCCTAATTGTTTTTTGCTTTTGGTCTGTAATTACAACAGCAAACACATTCACACAGTTTATTTTCATCTAGTAAGTAATTTTAATTTTCCGTCTGCAGGTTTCTGCAAATTCAAATAATGCAAATTTAAATAAGGTATAAAATTTTTAGGACCTCAAGTTCTTGGCTTTTTGGTTGCTCAATTTCCAAAACAGATCTTGAATTTAACTCAGTCAGATCATTTCTTCATCCGAGATCTTTCTCAGAAGGTTATATCATCTGCCAGCCTACCCAAAGGTAATAGCAAAGTTTAACTTAATAAGTTTTTAACCAGCTGGCCTAGTGTCACCCAACTATGTTATGGATGGCCAACTGCCTTGTTATCTCCATTAATCATATTTGACACTCAAATTCCAATAGGCAAGTTACTACATCTGTACATAGTTTCTGTTAATAGTTTTGTTAATCTGTTGCTGAACGTATTATTTTATTCTGAAGGTTTCAGTTTTGATGCTTTTCTTGAAGAAGTTCCTGGTAGTACTTTGACAACACTAGCAAGAAACACCTTCGTTGATGAAGACTACTTCGCAATCAATTCTGAGGTGTATATTTTGAGTCAATATGACCATTTTTAATCCTTTTCATCCTTTATTCCAAACATTTGGAAAATGGCTGATAAAATTTGCCTCTATTAAAAATTGACTTTCAACTGATAAAAAGTGTTGGTTTTTCAACCCTCTTTTGTTTTCAATTTATTTTTCAAAACTTCAAACCTTTTTCTCAAGTCTACTATATACTCCAAACAATTGAAATGGTCAAAAACCTTTCAAGTCTGTTAATATTTTACATTACATGCCTGTAATGCTTGTACCTTTCTGTTATTGTTAAGGTTGTTCAAAAGAGTGAAAAAGAACTGAGCGATGCATTCCGTCAACTGCTATCTTGCCTGCCAACTTCAAGACAATGTGCCAGGTGGTTTACTGAGTCTGCTTTTCATGGTGGGAAATCTGGTCATAACTTGTACAAGGTATGGATGAACAAAATATTTCCTTTGCCATTTTTTTCTATGACGAGCGCACTTGTTCAAAAGCTAGCATACTACTACTAGCAGATGAGCAAATAAAACTTGTCATATGAAAATTTGCTTGTCTATAACTGGCTTTAGTAATTATTGAAGAGCCTCTGTTGAATTGGACAAATGCACAACGTTTATTATCATTGCAGACAATATTTTGGCATCCAGAAGACGAGGATCATCTCGAAACAGTTTCCTCAGTCGAAGAAATTATCTTGTTTCTGAAAGCACTTCGAAAACATTCTGAAGTAAGTAAGCTTGGTGTGGTGCATGAAGTAAGTAACGAAATAAAGCATGATAGCGTGGGAAAAAATGTGCTTTCAATAAATTGGAACTTACTCATTTTCGTAGTTTCTTTCATGTTTCCTGCATTTCCTCCACCGCACACAAGATAATGTTTCAAGGTCGATGCGCATTGTTTCAAGCTATTGGTTCGCGTGCATTCCATCAAATTTGGAGAATATCAACAAAGGCCATCATAGCCGCCTTATAAGCTAAGCATTCTCTTGTAACGCAATTTCTGCCATACTGTACAGTGTAACCAGAGCTGTTTTAACTAAGAACATGGCTCTGTTTCCGCACGTTGCAGCAAAAATTGCCTTGTGTAACATGGCCTTATACGAATCTCGTTTAATAGACTTCTGTAGCATGAAGTTTTGTTTTTTTAAGCTTGAGAGACACAGATCACTTATCTTGAAGAATAACGGATTAGACTTGCTGCGTTTAGTGAGCATAAGCTACACAGACGTTAGAATTACAAGATTGGTGTCCCATGTTCTTGGAAATTTAGCATTAGATGAAACGTCGCACAAAGAAATTCTTCAAAAAGGTGAGCCTGTGTATATAGATCGCCGTGATAAAAAGAGATTTCTTCATTTTTTGCATGTTACAGAAAGCTGATATAAAGTCTTCTTCAAATAGGTTGGCTAAGAGAGCTGCAGACGTGGATAAAATCGAAGGTATATGGTGTAAAAAGAACGGCATGAACGCGCACGATGTGGGGGAAGCGCAAAAGAGATACTACTGTATTCCCAAAGCTCCTTCACGCGTCGCTCAGCCTAAAACTATTTTATCTCCGCATTGCCATAGGACATCGTTGTCAAAAGTCACTCAGTACGAGCTCTGGCTAATCTGGACAGGGACGGTGAGAGAGGTCATACTTACGAAGATGGAATTTTTGTTGCTTACCCAGATAAACAACTTAAATGGTACGTCTGCATGGTCACTATACTACTTTTTGATTGCTTGCCAACCGTTACAATACTTGCCTGCTCGCAACCTGTTACTGGAGAAGAACACTATTATAATGCACACTGCGAGACTTGGCTGATTACGGCGATTAGGTTTTAACTAAGAAATTGCTTTATTTAAATAGAGACTGTTGGTATGGAAATTTAGTGGTGTAAATGATCATATACTATAAGATCTCATTTTCAAAATTCTCGAACAGCTGTAGGCCTGAGGTTGATCTCGTGTTTGTTCATGGTTTACGAGGAAGTCCATTTAGAACGTGGAGAGGTAGAACAGATAAAACCGTTGAAGGAAAACAAACAGACTGTTGGCCTAGGGTATGATTTTAGTTTTGATATAGCATGTTGATAGATATAGATGTACAATAATACAATGTAAGGTGATATAGTGATATACTGTACACCGCGAAGTAGAGAATATTCATTCGACTGTATACCGCTCGAGAACATGTATCGAAAATCGGTCAGTATTCGTATGTAAGCTTGTTGAACTCATGACATACGTAATAATACAACTTTGTACAACTTTGTACAAAGTACAACGTAATAGTACAACTTTGCTTCGTATAAGCTATATCACAGGACAAGCACGAGGGAATAATCCCATCATGCATTTGTGCATTGCAGGTTGCGTCATATTAATATTGGATATTATAATATAGCATTTGTAAATTCTGAACGCTGATTGGCTAAGAGCCGTGTTGATATAACTCAATGTCAACACGGGAAATTTTCCGCCGCTTGTAAACACGGAAATTTTTCTTATCCTTCGGGCTTTTGACATTGCTATATTATAAAAAAAATATAAAACATTTTTCCGTATTGATATATAGTTATATCAACACTCGTGGAAGTTGGGAAAACTCGAAATTGTATGAAAACACTCCGCCCTTCAGGCGTCGTGTTTCCATACAATTTCTCGTTTTCCCAATTCCACTCGTGTTGATATAACTGTATATCAACACGGAAAATGTTTTATATTTGTTAAATATAACTCAACAAACTACATGATGGTTTGTTTCTGAACTATATTCAAACCAGTCCTTACAGATACCTCTTTGCCAGTGTCCCAGCATCTCTTTTAAAATCTTCTGTAAAACGAAAACCTCCGTTATATTGGCATTTTCTACCCCTTTAGAGTCCCCATTAGAGAGGTCTGAAGCGCTTCGATTCTTCAACGCTAGCGTTTCGACCGAAAACTCTTCGCCAATAGAGGCGTAGCCATTGTTCTACAATGTAAACTAACTTTCTTTTAGGATTGGTTCCCAGTTGACGTTCCGAGATGTCGCGTCATTTTGGTTGAATACGATACAGAAGTGAGTGGCTGGACATCCAAATGTCCAATGCAACCTGAAATGTAAGTCGTCATGGATTTTTGCATTTCTTTGATTTCTTTACCTGTGATATCAAGTTCTGTAAATTTTTGGAATTAAATTATAGTACATTTGCCCAATTTATTGCCCACCAACGCTTTAAAATTATTGTTACAGTTTTGTATGGAGTTACCATCCAAAGGCTTTCAGGAATTATTTGGTGCGTGTATGGGGAGGGGGGATTTCTTCCCTCTCCCCCTCCCTATTGTCGGGTAATAGTATGCGCGTTATTAACTGGGGTAACATGCAATATCTAACTGACGTTGTTATTTATAGTTCTACCATTGAGTATCGAAGCTCCGAACTTTTGAACAAATTGAAGAATGCTGGTGTAGGGAGACGTCCCGTTGTATGGATTGCACATTCTTTGGGAGGTGGGTATAAGTATGGTTATGGCATTTGAAAAAGGGGTTATGGCATTTGAAAAAGGAGTTAAGACTGAATTGCTGTGTCCATTCGTATCGTGTTCATTTATATCAATTGTTGTATAGGTTTGATGGTGAAACAAATGCTGTTGGACGCAAAAAAATCACTTGAATTCTGGTATGTAAGTTTAACAAGCCCAACTAGACCACATATATGCAGTCAGTGAGTTGTCAGCACTGAATTGGCGTTGTTAAACCGTCAGATCATCAGGTTAAAGAACCTTTCTATGTTTTCTATGTTTTAGTTCATTGCACGTCAACACTAAAGGTGTCGTATTTTACGCTGTTCCTCACAGAGGTTCCGATATTGCTTCAATGGTATCTGGCAAAGCAAGATATTTTCTTTTACCATCCTTTGAGGTCAAAGCGTTACAAAAAGGTGACACCATAAATCCTCTATTAAGCCATCGTCTCAAATCAAATCATCCTCTAATACACCTTTTCTCTAATACACCTTTTCTCTAATACACCTCTTCTCTAATCATCCTCTTCTCTAATACACCTATTCTCTAATCATCCTCTTCTCTAATACACCTCTTCTCAAATGCACCTCTTCTCTAATGGCCCTCTTCTCTAATCATCCTCTTCTCTAATACACCTCTTCTCTAATCACCCTCTTCTCTAATCATCCTCTTCTCTAATACACCTCTTCTCTAATCACCCTCTTCTCTAATCATCTTCTTCTCTAATGCACCTCTTCTCTAATCATCCTCTTCTCTAATCACCCTCTTCTCTAATCATCTTCTTCTCTAATGCACCTCTTCTCTAATCATCCTCTTCTATAATGCACCTCTTCTCTAATCATTATCTTCTCTGATGCACCTCTTCTCTAATCATCCTCTTCTCTAATCACCCTCTTCTCTAATCATCTTCTTCTCTAATACAGCTCTTCTCTAATCACCCTCTTCTTTAATCATCTTCTTCTCTAATGCACCTCTTCTCTAATCATCCTCTTCTCTAATCACCCTCTTCTCTAATCATCTTCTTCTCTAATGCACCTCTTCTCTAATGCACCTCTTCTCTAATCATCCTCTTCTATAATGCACCTCTTCTCTAATCATTATCTTCTCTGATGCACCTCTTCTCTAATCATCCTCTTCTCTAATGCGCCTCTTCTCATCATCTTCTCTAATGCACCTCGTCTCTAATGCACCTCTTCTCTAATGCACCTCTTCTCTAATACACCTCTTCTCTAATCATCATCTTCTCTAATGCACCTCTTCTCTAATGTACCTCTTCTCTAATGTACCTCTTCTCTAATGCACCTCTTCTCTAATCATCCTCTTCTCTAATGTATCTCTTCTCTAATCATCCTCTTCTCTAATCATCCTCCTCTCTAATGCACCTCTTCTCTAATCATCCTCTTCTCTAATGCACCTCTTCTCTAATTATCATCTTTTCTAATGTACCTCTTCTCTAATGCACCTCTTCTCTAATCATCATCTTCTCTAATGCACCTCTTTTCTAATGGCCCTCTTCTCTAATGCACCTCTTCTCTAATGCACCTCTTCTCTAATGCACCTCTTCTCTAATCATCATCTTCTCTAATGCACCTCTTTTCTAATGGCCCTCTTTTCTAATGGCCCTCTTCTCTAATGCACCTCTTCTCTAATGCCCCTTTTCTCTAATGCCCCTCTTTTCTAATGCCCCTTTTCTCTAATGCACCTCTTCTCTAATTATCCTCTTCTCTAATGCACCTCTTCTCTAATGCACCTCTTCTCTAATGCACCTCTTCTCTAATGCACCTCTTCTCTAATGCACCTCGTCAATCGTCTCCATCTAATGCGGCACTTCTCTAATGCACCCTTCTTTAATGTGCCTCTTCTTCCCCCTTGCTTTCATAACCTCCCCCCAAAAAGATTAGCCTCATTTTATCAGATATTACTTACGTACCATTTTAGGGTCGGAATATCTCGAAAACCTTCAGAAAGACTTCGTAGATTTTGTACAAGAAAACAATGTGGATGTTCTCAGCTTTGCTGAGACTCAACCTGCAAGGATTGTACGCGATACACTTATAGTTTCTTCCGACTCGGCAGGTAAATTTTTAAAATTTTGCAAATTACTGATACCATATCCTGAGGTAGCATATGACTAATTTTAACACAACTTTTAGTTTAGGGTAGCTCTGTCAGTTTTACCATTTTATAACCCTATAATCTAGCTTTATCTTTAAGACAAAGCAAGTTAAGGGTTAATGAAGAGCGACTGGTTTAAACGTTCATTTTTCCCCCTAAGATCTTGGAGTTGGTGACTTTATCCCGCTTCCCGCCAACCATTATGATGTATGCAAACCATGTAGTCGTTGGGATCCTGCTTATATGAGGACGGTTAACTTTGTCAAACAACAATTGGACATGGTCGATATTGAAGACTTCATGCCTGCTCTTTTGTTTTAAACGAGTCGTGGACACATGAAGAAGGTAGGATGCTGTATTGCTTCATTAGGTTCGTCGGGATCCGTGGTGCAGTCTTATGTTCTTTCGGTAGATTGTGGTTTTTAATGTTAAAAACCACAATTTAAAAACAGCGATTTCTTACCCTAAAACTATTCTAGTTCTTACAATCGTACTCCTAACCCATATACTAAACTAATATCTACCCTATGGCTATGTTGTCCGTATAAGTAAATAACCGTATTTGGGTTAAATAAATAAGTAAATAACCGTATTTGGTTATATATTTCAATATGGAATTATTTCGAAAACGACGGGATTAAAAATAAAGAACAGTCACATTCTCTCCACAAAATGTTCGGCTAGGAAAATATTCGCACATTACCGAAAATCGTCGAACATTACGACTGGCAAGATCTTTATTGGGAAATCCATCAGTAACGTCTTTTTCTTATCTTCTTGTCCGATGTTGATTTCTTGGTCATATTTCATTCCATCGTACAGTACAAAACCTCCAGTCAAGTTGCTGGGTGAGGGTTTTAAAGTCTTCCAAATCTTTCTTTAGAACATCCTTGAATCGTAGTCCAGGACGTCCATCAGGTCGATTCCTTACTCAAGGGTTCCTTGAAGTACCGAACAGCCCGGCAGTCGCAACGGCTTCATACGGCTCACATAACCTGTCCAGCGGGCACAAATGAAGTGGATCCTGTAGATTTGATTATTTATTTCGTTTGATAGTTCATCCTTCCTGCACCTTATAAGCTCCAAGAATGGAACGGAGACGTCTTCTCTGGAATGCACTCAATCTGCTTTCTTGTCTTCATAGTTTTGCTTAGATTTTAGCGCCATAAATTAGCACTATACACTATTTCAATAAGGAGGCAAACGATCATAGATGCGTACTTCGGCGCGCGTTGATAGACATATTTTTTCCCGTAGAGAGAAGCCCGAATGTAGATACATCTTTTCCAAGCGACCAAACAGAAATTTCCTGGTCAATAAATATTTTATTCTGTTAGAAATGAACATTTATTGTATCCTCTCAGTGTACAATTATATTTATATATATAAGGTGCAACTGCAGTACGGTATAGTATATGTGTCTTAGGCTTTTGCTCTAGCTTTTATTTGCAATTTTGTGCATGCTTTTCCATATGTGTTTGCTTTTACCTGTAAAAATATTATTAACTTTCCAGAACTAATTGTATATTCTGTATAGTTCTTTATTTATACCGAATAGCTTAGAGGTCCAGTGCAGGGCCATTCGTTTTGTACGAGTGTCACCAATTAAGGGTATATAAAGGGGAAAATCTTTAGTGACTGGTAGTGTAATGAGTCAGGCTGAAAGCGCCCATGTGCAATGGACACTAAATATGCAAATGAAAGAAAATAAATAACATTGACTGAAACCTAAAACAAGCCAGAACCCTAAACCATCATAGTGAAATCTTTAAACATAGGCGTTGTTTTAGGGTCAGGTTTCAGTCAATGTTATTTAGTTTCTTTCATTGCATATTTAGTGAGGACATGAAAGGACATCTCCCACATGCGAGTGAGGCAAACGTGGGCAAAAGAGACAAGCACCAATTTTGTATTAAAGCATGGTCACAAAGATGTAAGACACTTGAAGTAACCATTGTGATCTCACAACTCGTTCAGGTACATAAATTATGAAAAGTGCATATCGACTTCGAAATGTTTGGACTATCTTCTGTAAAAGTTACAACAATGTGTCTGTTTTGTCTTCAAGTTCAGCGTGATTTCCAGAAGTATCTGGAAGCCTCCTGTTGTTCGATTTGCAAATCCTTCTCATGCAAACATATCTATTCCCCAAATTTCACATTGTTATTACTTCGCTTGCTGTGCATTCTCATTCATCCTATATTGACTATGTGGGATTGCCATTATTCTCTCATCAATCCTGCCTTACATTTTCGCGACTGACTGGTGCCACAGCTTGGAATACCCTACTGGGTCAGGGCAGTCTTGCTCAACAGAAGACAACCCCTTAATGTACGCCTGCTGTTCATGACCGTTGGATATTTACTGCCTTTCTCTTCCTGCCTAGCAGGGGTCGTTTACACTCCTGGGAAGATATCTTTTAGACATAAGGCAAAGACTGAACTCGTGCATTCATGGACTCAAGTGACCCAAAGCTGAATACTTATTCTGGCTTACATGGATCCCCATAGTTTACCACCAACATGCACTATGGGGTGTAAATGACACAATAGTTAGCTAGCGTGCATGCATCTGCTTTTCACCTCTATGACTATAGGATTCGATCCCAGCAATAGGCTGTTATCTTATTGTAATTTTGCATCAGTCATATGTGAGTGCTTCATGTCACTGAAAGCAATGCTAATCGAGGCAATTTGCGCTGCAATTTGCAACTCATTTTCTGACCAGAGCCATGCATGTTATCCAAAGAGGTAGTCGCAGGAATATTCTGAGCATGGCCTATTTTCTCCTACACTGCATCGACCAATAGAGTTCGCCCATACTGTACATCTGGCTATAGTGTGGGGATTACAACATGGAAAAATCTTATAACGCTGTCTGGTATCAAAAAGTTAGTTAACTTATATAGTTTATATGCATGGCGACATTATTGTCATGCGCCCAGTAGGTTTTGTGTAAAGATATGTTCGCCATGCACACCTTTCTGAAACATTCTGTAACAACATGCACAGTAGGCTTGAGAAATGTACCAAAACTCCTTTACAATATACAAGAATATGAACATTAGTGGGAAATTAATATTTCAGCAACAACATGGTTTGTGTGAGAGGCGTTTTTAATTACACTGCCCTGTGAAACAGCACGACAACTGCGCATATTCCTATGGTTTTGAGTGTTTTGCATTTTCAGAGTTGCTATCGTAACTTTTGCAAGTACGACAAATGTCTGAATATAAGCTTCGAATATAACCCGTTGAATAAAACCCCCCTCCCCATATGCAAGGTGCTTTTGCCCCCCTACCTCCCCCTAATGTAAGCCCGTCTGCTTTATGTATGGATTGGAATAACACCATGATAGCAATTTCATGTAGGTTTACGACTGTTTTGAATAGTAGAAAGAAATATAAAAGGGATAGTTAGCGTCTTTCCAGACCAACTACGTTTGCACGTTACGAATGATAAAATGTAACATGTTATTAATTCTTTCGGGATTTTGAATGCAATAATCACCATTTCCAACACAAGATTTCCGTAAGGTCCATGCACGGCTCCCCTTGAACCATGTTTCCATGTACTCAGTAGCGAGTGAATATGAACCCTACGATCATATATTGCAATTTAGGCAGTTTTGATCCGTACGTATTGTATTAGTCCAGTGTACCAAAGATCTGTTATAGTATTGAAACAACAGTGTCATGACTTGTCTAGGCATATCTTAATCGTGAATTATTCTATTCACTCTTTGTGTTCTGTATCTATAGGATTAAATTTAGGATGAGCGGCTTTTCATTGCATTCCTTCAAGCATAAGCTGATATTCTATTGCCGAATAATAACTTTGTAAAAGGGTTGAATTGAATTAAGTTATTATTATACAAACGTGGTGAATTAATTGCCAAAGCCACGAAATTAAAGATACCTTATCAATCAAAGTATTTTACTAATCTGTCAAACGCTTTATTGAAATATTTGCTACGACGAGAAAGCCAAAAGCCTTCATTGTCTCTTTAGAAATACTGATCAATCATTCCACCTGTGGCTAATGGAACAAGCGCCACAGGTAGCCCTAAAGCTATTTACACGTTATTATCCTAACCATAAACAAACCCTTTAGAAACTGTTGTTCCTGCTTGATTGCCGTAACGCCAGTGCTGATGTCAGCCCCCGTGGGTTGCTATAGAAACATAATGGCTTTCTTTTAAGAAACAATGCTTTCTATTTATGTTTTGGAGTGCAATTTATTTCACCAATTTCATGGGGAGTAAATTATTTTACCACTTCACAATTGCACGCTAATTTTCCATTTACAAATTTAGCCATAGTCATGGATAATGTTAGAATGCTTTATATGTGTAGTGACTTTTGGTGGGTTCTAAGATCGTGCATATTTGGTTTGGTTATTGACATGCATGATTTTGCTTTGGAGTTGGGAACAGCGATTGAGTATCACATGTTGTAATAGAGGCATTGTTATGTTATTTAAACATAATATGTTCTGTCAATATTTTGACATCAATGGGAAATTAGTAAATATAAATAGAGGCCTTGCAGAGTTTGAATTAGCAGGCGCATATATCATAGGCAAAACAACCCAATAGCTCCTAAAAGGATGAAAAAATGTAACAGTTGTAGACTTTTCACAAGATGCCTCATTGACAGTTTGCATGGTTAGAGGCATGACATTGTGGGAATAAAGCAAAAAAAATCCAGACACGAGCACCTTGAATTTCTAGTGTCTCTAGAACATCATTTCTCGCATTCCAGGTTTTGAAGAAAAACTATAACCCCGAAATATCATATTTTGTTAACCCCTCCTCCCCTTGGCCACGTCATTGCTAATTGACACTATTTGCGTCAACGTGGATGGAACGTCTATTGATTTTCTATTGAGTTTTGGTACAAGCATATTTCCAGCATGTAAAAAAGAGAAGAGTGTTTGCAAAAAGAGAAGTTATCTCTTAAGAGTATTGATGAACATGTCAGGTGCTTGATAACAACTTTAATGATCAAAACAAGGAAAGAAAAGATCGTCAAGAGAGGGAAATATATTATTTATGGATCGTTTATGTTAAAGTCATGAAGATACGAAACAATATGTCAATGATTAATTTAATCTAATAATAGTATGGCAAACACATTGGGTCAAAATATTACCTTTATGGTATAATCACTGATAACACAATCATAACGAAGAAGGTTAATTAAGTTCCAGAATTTGGAGTGATTTGCCTTGGTCTTAATGTTAATGAGGTTAGAATTTTTTGAGATCATGTACTGTAGCACCAATAAACTTTGACATGCAACATCAGAAAACGCCTTGAAGTAAAGTTGTAGTATGTTGATGAAATAATATGCCAATAGACTAGCTGTATATGATAGTTAATCATGTGATCACAGTGATGTCATCACACTTGATGGAAAATAGTATGTTTGCAAACACACTATCACACACTTTTCTCCTGCCTAATGTATAGATGTTGCTGTGATTCCGGTGGTTTTATTTGAGTTTTGAATGAAAGTTAAAGTTTACATTGTCGTGTACACAGAGCATATTGCCATGTACGAATCTTCGATCGATTCAATTTTTGTCTACAGCACAGTTTGAGGAAGGTCATCAAGCTTAAAAGTATTGAAATTAGGTATCCTATCTATAAAGGCTGGCATGGTAAACACCAGAAACGTTATTGTCATTCCATGCAGGGTTATCGCGAAACTTTGAAAGTGTGTGGGGGTTTGCGCGAAAAAGGTTAAAACAGTCGCAAGCTTGGACTAAATCGATCATACTTTCATCAACATATCCCGATATAAACTATCCCAATGCTATCAAGTTATTTGTGTATGTAAAAGCTTTTAGTGCCTATATGTTGAGGAGCAATGATCCCCACATGGTGCTGACAACACGTGGAGGTTTTGTTCTAAACTATAGTTAATATCATCTACCTGGCGCCAAGGGAGGAGTCCTTGTCTGGTTAGGATGATGAACATTTGGTTTGAAATATATGTTTCAATTTGTATTTAATTAGAATCTTATTGTATTAAGAGTTTATAATTAGGATCTTAAGAAAATTCTAGTTTCCCTTTGTGTAATTATTTTCGCAGAGAATGATGAGCATTTCGCCAGGATTATATTATTAACTATTGTATTTACTCGAGTTTATAATTACGATCTTAAGAAGGCTTCTAGTCGTATAATTAATTTCATTAGCCTCTAAACCATAGATATCTTATATACACTAGATAGTGCATCTAATTATTCTGCAATTCAAAAATTGAAGCCGTAATTGCAGTCTCAGGTCGTTCCCATGAAATGAGAAGATTAGTATGTTTTCTATTTCTTAAACAGGGAACTTAAACATTACGTGAACCCTATTCCAAATACATTTTTAAACTATTCAAATGATGAAAGTTATTGTTGTTTTTAAGCGTTTATTAGCAAGTGGGAATGACCAACATGGCCGCCATCTATTCAAATGGGGGTAACCGCTGGAATATTCTTGGCTTCAATTTTACTAAAAGAGATGCGCTATCTAGTATATATAAGATATCTATGCTTTAAACATAGAACAAATACTGAATGAACATTTTGAGCAAAGTTGCATGACGTTCAGACAGTCCCGAGTGGTGTCTACCACCAACTAGTTTGGGATTAGTACAAGATACTACGAGGGGCGTTTTCTTAGAACATTTTACGTCTTCTTTGTAGGCTTCTTCTTGTTTTAAAGTACTGCAGCTGTTTTGCTGTGTTTGCTACTGGTGTCACTCCATTGTATGACATGAATCTCTGGTTAATACTCGGCCTCCTGCTCAGCAACTGAACCCTGTAGCTGAGTTGCACGGTTATAGCTCTGCACCAGAATTGCTGGGCCGTAGGTTCTATTCTTGCCATTTCTGTTGTTGCATTTTTCGCAACTGCTCCGATCCCATGCATGGTTTAAAATTTGAAATCCAAAATCCATCTACTAAGTTATGTTATTTATGGACATAGTCATAGATTCTTTATTTGATAGTG